TCCCTACTTGTTAGTACCCGGAGTGTTGGTTATTCTGAAACCTCATTCTTCTCCTATTACTCCCATTTTCACATTCTCAATTTGGCTGAGGTTACAGTCTTATTTATGACTGGAAGGAAAGAGTATTGCTGTCTTAAAAAAGACAATATTGACCAGAAAACAAGCACATGTCCTGAAATAGCATATCAGGCCTGACTTAAGTATGTTAACTTTAGGTAGTAGATACTCCTGGTATTTTGGACCATCCTTTGGAGGACAGGAACACCATCGAGATGCAGGCTATAACTGCGCTTGCACATCTTCGTGCTGCTGTGCTTTACGTGATGGATGTGTCTGAGCAGTGTGGGCATAGCCTGGAGGAGCAAGTAGAGCTCTTCAGAAATATTAAGCCGTTGTTTGCTAACAAGGTAGGTTTGGTTTATATTATTAATAAACCCCAGGGTTTTATAAGATGATAACTTGAATTATGAATCTTTTTTTCTTTTTATTAGCCACTTATAATTGTTGCAAACAAATGTGATGTGAAGAGGATTGCAGAGCTTCCTGAAGAGAGTCAGGTTAGACTACTTCTCCCACCTCTCTCTCTTTCTTCCAACATTTACAAAAATATTATGTGCAAGTGTCATGGATGGACATAACTGATATTGGACAAAAACTTTTACATGATCATTTCTTAATCTAACTATTCAATAATGTAACGGAAGGTAGCTTTCCAGGTCTTGACCTGTATCTTTTTGAAGTACTGTCTAATGTATATACTTGCCTGAATATCATAAATGCCAAACAGAAAGCAAGTGCGTAGTGGTTTCAGAAATCTCTGACACTATGAGAACTTTCAATTACTACTGTCATTGGAAGTAAGACTGAATAGCCTTGTTCAATAATTTCCATTTCAGTAAGAATTCAGAGACAATGAGCACTGGACTGAGAATTGCTGCTGAACAGTTGCAGTAGAAGGTCCCACTGGGCAACTTGTGTATATGCAGGACTAGTTCTTTTATATCTGCAAGTTCAAGGACACATAGAATTTGTGTTTCTCTCACTCTTTTTTTTTCTTTTTTTTTCCCCCTTATGGGTCATTTATAGGTGCCTTTTAGAAAGGAGTTATTTGCTTATAAAAGAAGGAACATATTAATAAAACTGTAGTTGTAAAGTTTCTGTCATCTTTGTAGAAACACATTCTAATAAAATAGTAACAAGTTGCACTGATTGATACTGGATTAAAATTTCTGTTCTTAATGTATCTGTATATTAAGAAATGGGCAGAATGTCATTCTTTGGGATAATGTTTCTAATGTTTCTGTTTTAGAAAATATTTGAAAATTTTGAAGCAGAAGGATTTTCTGTAATAGAGACAAGTACTCTAACAGAAGAAGGTGTAATCCAAGTTAAAACAGAGGTAAGTCTCTTTTCTCTCAATTTCATTCCAAATGAACAGCTAGCATTTTGCCTCATTTGTATAAATGCAGTCTCACGGTGCATTATCGTGATAAACTTTAAGCATAGAATCGTAGAATCATTTAGGTTGGAAAAGACCTTTAAGATCATTGAGTCCAACCGTTAACCTAGCACTGCCAAATCCACCACTAAACCATGTCCCTCAGTGCCACGTCTACATGGCTTTTAAATACCTCCAGGGATGGTGACTCAAC